CTCCGACTCAAAAAGAGCTTGGGGGGGGGGGGGGGGAGCCCAAAGACTCCCACCAAGTGAAGCATGCCATCCATGTCCAATGATAGACCTTGGGAAAATGAAACTTCCTACTTTTTAGCATCATAGTTATCACAGACATAGAGAAACTGCCCCTGTCCTTCAGAACCTTTAGCTATGCCCTTAAAACCAGGGACCATGAAGGAGGATGGTAAATAATTTCTTGGGACAGAAGATCCTGATGATCCAGCAGAGCCTACAGAGCATCTGCCAAGAATCTTACCAGGCTGGCATATCACATCTGCTTGGGCCAGTTCAAAGCAACAAGGATGCCCTCCATCTTGATTCAGCGAAGCAGATGACAAAGAAGTTTGAGGGAAGGAAAGGCAAATGTGAGAGTGAACTGATCCCACTGAGCCAACAGAGCATTCACGGCTTCCTCTAGAGGATCCCTGGACCTGGAGAGAAACCTGTCCAGTTTGTTGTTGAACCTGGAGGCCAGGAGGTTGAAAGCCACACACAGGTAGTGTAGGAGTCCCACAAAGTGTAGGAAAAGACGATATACTGGAAAAATTACAGACCTGGTGGATTCTACACAGAATTTTTGATCTCAAATGAAGATTTTCAAAGCTTTGAGAACCAAGATGGGGTTAGGGAATGGTGACCAAGTTGGAGTATCATCCTTGAAACCGTTCTGCCACAGGATACTTCTTTGAGGTAGGGTACTGCTGGACCCCACGTCGGGTGGGGGACATGATTACATTTGTACAAAATACTTCACAAACAGGTAAAAGACTTAAGCGTTTGGGGGCAAACAGTTTGTCAGGATGTTTCCAATCTCCATACAGAAAGAGTTGAAAAACTGGGTGCAATGGGAAAGTCTTTGTAGCCTTAGGAGTGCCAAAGAGCCATAGACTGGAAACAGCACTGGTAGAAGCAACTGGCTGATCCTCTAGTTTCTGAGTGATATGCAGTGCATCGATAAAAAACACAAAAGTCTCTTAAATTTGAGAGTAATCGCAGTGGACTGTAATTTCTCAGGGGTAAACTCAGAATCAAAGTCTCAGGTGGCTGATGATGGCCAGGTAAATCAGATAGAAAAGATGCATGAAAAGACATTGGAGTGGGTTTGTGGCCTCTGGGTGATTTGGGCCATAACGTCTTGCATAGCTGTAGTAAAAAATTAGTTCAAAAGGGCAGAGGAACTGGTCTCAACGGACAAAGCTAAATAGGACTCTGGAATAATTGATAGACAATTACGGAATTGTCTCTAGAAGATGGAACTCTGATTCCAGGCTGCAAAAGCAGGCTTCATCAGTAGGTGGCCTGCAAGCAGCCCCGGAGCTGTAGAGTGTGAGTTTAAGACAACCATCCCGCTTTTGTTTACCTGAAGAAGGGACCACATGGTTCCAAAACGTCACTACTATGGTCAATAAAGAAGATTCACTATAATCTGAAGTGGAGTGCGAGTGACTTTTTAACTAGTTACTTAAGACAACCATGTCTCCCCCAACCCCTTCATGCCAAGAATCAGACATATTGCAACTGCATGGTGGTAAGACAACATAAGGATTGGGGTAACAGGCAGGGCACATATGAAACCCAGACAGTCGATAGCAGCTGAGGGTCAGGTGGCAGAGGTGACCAAGAGTTTGACATGGCTCCTTGCGAGCACAAGCAGCAGCCGGTAGATGCTTCCTTTATGTTGTATAGTTTAAAAGAGTGTGTAGAGTGTCCATGTAAAACTCCCCTGGTGGATAACTTCAGCTTTCAGTCCCACAGTGTCAACCTCTACCACGGCAAAACAATTGGGAAATGGGGACATTTAAAGCTTTCTATTGACCAATGTAACTATGGTAGCTTCATGTGTTTGGCCCAAGTGGTTTACTCCTAAACTGAACCTTCAAAGACGGGGAAGGTGCTCTGCACAGAGCATGGTTTCCAGGCTACACCCACAATGTCAAGACCAGTAGGGTCTGAATGCAGCTTTCCAAAAGCCAGAATGAGGATGGCTGTGCCAGACTGCTACAATGGAAGAAACATGCAAAAGCAGCAATGTCTTGATTGAAGAAGAAAAATCTTGAAAAATGAAAAAGTGTAAGCAAAATTAGGTTAGTTTTTTACACAGCAGAGCTGAACAGATGATGTCTATCCTCCTTGGATACTAGCACAATCTGAGGCATCCTGGTAGTGGGCGTGGTTATCCTAAGCTGACCTAGTTTTTTGGTTGCTAGTGCTCAGTCCTCATGTAGGTCCTAGTAAAACCCAAAAGGTAAAAGACTTCCTGTGTCCCTCAATAGGCGAGAAAGAAAAATTTGTATTATCCCTTTAATCTACAGATCTTAAAGTGTAATTCAACTTTTGCAGCCAAATTGGGATAACACCTACTTTATATATGGTATAAGCTCCCATTCACATTGCATAACTTAAAAATAAATGTTTACTGTTGGCTGTTTTACTACTATACTTACTAGTAGTTAACACTTACTATAATTAACCCTGTCCGTACTGTGCTGAAAGATTTCACTATTAGTTGTAAACCAAACACTGTCTACCCTAACAGAGAGTTAAAGAGTAAGAATCCTGGCTTCTACCTTGCATGTTAAGGAGAGGAAGTTCCCAAGGAGAGACTTATTTTCAAACTATTTAGAATAGCTTGCAGCATACAAAAGCCTTCTGAAAAGAAAACTCTAAAAAAGGTAAGAAAGTTTTTTTAAAACGTTTAAGGTATGCTGTGTGAATGAGTACACAAACATATAGTGGGGTTTTCTCAAATTTGACTGCAAAAGTGGAAATACACTTTAAATTAGGTATGAAGATGCTCTATGCACAATTGGATGTCAAATTCTAGAATAAATGATTTCTTTCTTTAAAAGCCTAAATTTGAATAGCTCTCCCAAAGGACTGCTTTAAGACCATAAATTCATCACAAGCACCAACTACAAAACTCACAAAACTAAATTATGATTCTACGCAACAGGATGGGAGACCGGATTATCATGGAGCACATGACAGGAACAGTGATAGACCATGGGGCTGCAATGGTAAGACTTAAAGCCTACAACAAAATCAAGGCACAGATTCCATTACTTGAGGGGAGCTGCCTGGAGAGAAGCCTTGATTGGAGACAGGAGAAGTGGGAGATTGGTTGGACGGGGACCCAGCACTACTGCGGTACTGCTGGAGAGAGGCCTACAGAATGACACAGAGTTAAATAACCACTGGCAAGTTACATATTTATAAAGACATCCACTGGGAATGTCATTTACCGTGACAAGCATTTAAAGTACATATACATTTCATACAAACGCTGTTTACACTAATAACCTTCTTACTACCAAGAGGGAAATCTCTCTTTTACATTGGGTTACACTCTGTTATACAGAGATGAGAAAGAGGTGTGTGTCTATGGTATTGCATTCACAGCAAAAGACAAAAAATTGAGCAAACCATTAAAGTGTGGGTATAGCAAAAAACATTTCCTTTTAGTTTCGAATAGTGTAGGCAAAAATTCTACTTTGTAGGCAATCGGCCAGTTTATTTTTTTGCTGTTTCTGTACCACTTGAGAAATTTCCCTCCACTTCCTGTCCCATAGACACGAGAGGACGTTAGAAGAAAAGTTGCAAAGTGATGGGAATTCCGCTTTCAGCCAGCTGTCACCGGAAGGTGTTCTATTGTAAGACTTCTCCTTACCTTTTGTTCTGCGGATAATTCTAACATTTTGGCTTTTCCCTCACTTTGCTTCGGTGACAATGGTTATCTACAAAAAGAGCTGAATCTCCCCCAATGTGGACACAGACAACAGTAAAAACTTGACAAAGGGTATTAGTAAAAAAATTGTCACATATCATTATCAAACTTCCAAAACCCTTCACTATGTTTAAAATGCATTAACAGGCAAGCATTGAGACGAAAGTCACATGCTTGCAAATTTCTATGACCTCAGATAGATCTACAACCATGCAACTGCAGCAAGTACAGGCAGTTGTCAGGTCTTTTGTCCTTGAACAACATCTGACATCCCCTAAAAAAAAAAAAAAATAGAGTGTGACAATATCAGCACTGTACTTCCGTAACAACATACCTTTCTACTGTTTTCATAAATGGTTCTACATATCTGTGGCTTCTGAGTATTTTTTAGATAATGCCTCAGAAAGCATTTTTTTCAGCATTCATACCATCTATGAATTTCTAGTAGTCAGACTACATTTAGTTATTTAGGCTGATTTAAAGAAATCCAGTCAAATTACAAATGAACCCTTACAGTGGGGCTACCACTGCACTGCAAGGGTTAACTTGCAGCAACTAATATTTTTTTGTTAAAAAAAAAAAGAACCAATAAAACCCATGGCAGTTCCAGGGTTATGACGGCACACAATTGAAAGCGGCCTTCAGCTCACAATTTTCATGAGCTGTAAGCCATAATCATCACAATTATGACAAATCACGGCTTGAACTATCTTGCTTTGCATGTAATGAGTCTATCTCATATTTAGTTTCACCCTTTAAGTTGAATTAGTGAAATAAATGAACTTTTGCACGATATTCTAATTATTCGAGTTTCACCTGTAGATGCAAAATACAGTCAGATTGGAACAATAGGACTGACTTCACACCTGTGTGTTCACACCATCATGTGCATTATTGAACAGTGTATATGCATTGCCATTTATTTTTAACAGCAAGCCCAACACACATACAAGGCTAAAACAAACCCTGTGCGTACCACAATGTAAGCAATAAGGAACATATATGTTGCAATACAAAATAAAGAAGGCGGGTGTGTCTGGCCCACTGGAAATTAACTCATGCTAACAAGCTGGTCAACATGAGTTAATACATGAAGAGAGCAGGCAAACAGTAAGTGCTCTTCATAGCAAAGGAAAACCTCAAGTTGACCAATTACATAGTTTACAAGACTTCATATAAAGAGCATCTGACATACTTTCTGGCTCAGTTAAACTTTTGGTTCACATTTCTTACAGTCATTATTACTGCAATAATGATTGTATCAATAATGATGATTACTGAAGTATATAGTGTTGTAAAAGCATTCAATCTAAGGCGGTAGACATCTAATACTGAGGCAGTTACCACCTGAAGTCACGTGGGTGGAAACTAAAGCAATCCGCTGCCTATAACCCTTCATCCTATGATTTTATTTTTCATTTCCTGTCATTATAATCAAGAAACCAACGTATTTGGCCTCTACTCACTTTAAATGTTCTCGCAGCAAGAATTAACCAAATGTACAATTGGACTTTGAAGCATGTCTTGGCAACTTCAGTCTTTATGGGTCAGAATTTCCTAAGATAGATTCAGGATTTTGTTTTTAAATAAGCGTCATGGTCCATTAGGTAGAATGACTGTTGCTTTTAGCAAATCTCAGCCTTTTAGGAATTATACAGCCTTGATCTACAGTGATGATGCATGAGCCAACTAATCCAGGTATAGGTCTACTTGGTAATCACCATATTGTAAGCATACTAACAATCACTTCAGGTTTGACAGTAGCATTGAAATGGGAAAATAAAAAAAATAGGAAAAAGGATAAAAAAAAGAAATAAGAAAAGGATAAAAAAAAGAAATGGGAAAAGGATAAAAAAAAAGATAAAGCTGAAAGTAAACAAGAAAAAAGATGGGATCTGCCATTGCTGACCGCCTACTTGTGGACCTTTACCTTCTACGACCCAAATGAGAGATATCCCCCATATGCCTTCCGAAACATCTACGGTATATAAACTAGAACACATAGTATTCAAATTAAATTGTTTTTTTTACATACTTTTTAATGTTTTCTAAAATCTTCTCTGCTCTTTTGCGAGCGGCCATTGTGGTAAAGCGCATACGATTACCCTACCTGGTTTTCTCCCTCCCTCCGGTAATGTGCATTAAAATCCTGCATGCGCGCTTTTAGCATCTTCCCTTGCTATAGCACATGTGCATCGCTTGAACAAGCTTCCAGTTTGTGCGCATTGCAACAGGAAAGCTGGGAATGACAGCTCCCAGTCCCTGTTACATATGTAAATAAAAGGACAGGGTATGTTACATAACTGACAATTAAATTTTTCAGTTAATGATTTAACGGGACATACCATGCCACTTTGTTTACATTCTGTAACGGGAACGGTCATTCGCAGCTGCAGTTCGTCGTGTGCAGATGCGTCGTGCAGTCAGTGGGTATTTTTACTTTCACCGGGTGTGACAAGGATTGACAAGGATCTACATCAGTGAAGGACGTGATTGATGGTGTATTGCATCCCAGATATATTGGTGGCAGGTGCAAATGATAGAATGATGGGGGACTGCTACAGAGGTATCATTAGGTTGGGGGCCTTTACACAAACACTGTCACTTTTCTCACAATGGAGAAACGGACAGTGTCTCTAAACCAGAGGTCCTTAACTGCACATTTGTTCTAGGTCAGTGTCTCAAAGTACTGAATTGAGAGGGCTAACCATAACAGCCAAGAAACTAGCCATTGTAGAGTGAGAAGTGATCAAGACAACTTCCATGTTTCTCTATAGAAAGGATTCCTTTGAATCCCCTTACAGACACAAAATGTGTGGCGTTAGATCAGATCACCAGGTATCTCAAGTTAGGATAACTTTGATTAAAACAGGTAGAAATGTTAGCTGAAACAAACTATAAGGCAAGCCTCTACCAAATATTAAACTAAAAAGCTCCCTCATGATTAGCATAATTCAGCAATTCATTACACTTACACAAAAATTGCATGTCGACACTTGTTTATTAGTGTTGTTTTTCAGTTACGTGACTGTTGATCCCTTACAGGTACTCGTTTCTGCCCGTGTGATGAACGGGCTCTAGGTAAATGCCTATGTCAGCTCTCATCAATGAATTATATCTGTGCTGTGAGAAGCAGTGCCGGAAAACAATGCTTGTATTGTAAAGAACACTCCGACATGATGACTAATGGCCTCTATGATTAGGCCAGAATGGTGAAACACGTGAGAGGTATTCTACATATGGGAGTTTTGTTTTACAGTATGTATTTGTCAATTTAATAAAATAGTTGCGTATGAAGATCCATGGAAGTACGGCTTGCTTGTAAGAAGAATTCATATGTTGGAGGTGGAGGCATGCCTGTTTTGCCTGCACCCAACATGTGATTATTACTTAGTGTGGCCTTGGAACTGGAGCGGTAGACTGTTTGCACTACTGACATGATGAGATAGCCATATAGCTGAATGGGAAGTGGGACTGTGGTGTTGTCAGCCCAGTGCAGTAAATGAGGACACAACAGAAGGACTGGCAGGATCAACAGGAATATACTTGAGTGAAGGGGTTAAAGATAGCAAATTTAAGACACTAATACTGAAGGCATATTGGTTGTTTAAGGAAACTGTGTTTTGCCTGGAGTTCCACTTTAATGAATCCCTCACCCTGGCTAACTTTTGGGTTAGATGTAATAAATTTAAGGCTGATACAGTATAAAAAGGGTGGTACAGGAAGAACTTCTCATAACAGCCAGCCTGTTATTTTGCTTTCAGATTCAAGGTGAAATGAACTAGTAGTTCATTTCACCTTGAATCTGAAACATTTGTATCTGAAACATCTGTACATTTACCACAGAAGTACTGAAAATCAAAAAATGTGTTAATGGTAGAAAACAGCTCGTCCTCAGCTCTACAGTTGTCAACTGTAAGAAGACTATATACTGAAAGGTAATTATATTCATTTGAGGCACAAAGTACATAATCTGAAGCAAGCTGACATACCTAACTATTCTTGACAAACTGAGAAGCAAAATCATCTTTCAGAAGCAACAAACAACCACCAATTATTGTGATTAAAAGTCAATGAAAAACATCTTGGTAAGATACACTTAAAGTAGCATTCCACGCAAACAGCTAACATGTAATACAATGCGTTAAATATTTAATTTTTTTAATTTTTCCATGGTTTCGCCTGTCAGAAGAAAAATATGGGGGCAGCCAATACTGACAGCAGGCTAGTTGACTGAATCTTATGATGACCTGGTAGCTTTAATATTTTTTGGGTCACTCAAGCATAAGTATTATCTGCATATCTTGTTCTGTGACTCAAAGTACTGAAGTAGGAGGGTCAGCAAGAAAACAGCATATTAAGAAGTCTCAACAATGACTTTGGGGAACATTTTAGCAACTGCAGTCTAAAAAGCCAGGTATAGTCTGTATCAAGTACAGTC